TCCACACCTACTCTTATCCACTGCCCAGAATAGCCACAGTAAACATCCAGACAAGTATCTTTAGCCTTTTGTGATGCATTCACGTATTACCCATAACCACACATAAATGGTTTTTAATAATGCAAATAGAATTGCATTACATTTACTGTTCTGTGACTTGCTGTCTGAACTTACGAGAGATGTCTTCGTGAGTCAGGACAAATTTTAAATCAGTTTATGTAGACTGACTGCATTCTTTTTTTCAATAGTACTTTGTTGAGGAATGATTTATATACAATAAATGCACATAAGTACAGCTTGAGGACTGTATATCCTCGTGTGACCACCATCCAGATCAATATGTAGAATTTCCACCTCCTCAGAAGGATTCGCTCATGCCCCTTCAGGTCAATACCACCACCCACAGAAGTAACCACTACTCAGACTTCCAACACCAAGCATTAGTTTTCCTATGAAACTTCACATTCATGGACTCATATAGTAACTATTCTTCTGTGTCTGGATTCTTTCATGCCACATAATACCTCTGAGATTCATCCATGTTTTTGCACATATCGGTAGTTTTGCGTTTTTTTGTTTTTGTTGCTGAGTAGTATTCCCACTACAATTGGGGTTGTTTTCAGTTTGGGGCTCTTGTGAATGAAGCTACTATGAACATTCTTTTAGAAACTTTTCTGTGGACATGAGCACTCGTTTCTCTTGAGAATATACTCATAATTGTTGGGTCATAGGTAGTGTATGTTTAATTTTATTAGAGACTACCAAACATTTTTCCACAGAGACTAAACCATTTTATACTCCTACCAACAGTGTATGGAGTTCCAATTGTTCCAATCCTCACCAGCACTTGGCATTGTCAGTCCTTTGTATTGTTAGCCATTCTGGTGGATGCATGCTGGTATCGCCTTAAAATTTTAATTTGCATTTTCCTGATGACCAGTGATATTGAGCACTTTTTCACGTGCTTATTGGCCATTCCTATATCTTCTTTTATGAAGTGCCCATTCAAGAATTTTGCCCATTTTAAAATTGGGTTGCTCATCTTTTTGTTACCAATTTATAGAATTTTTAACTGGTATATAATTTTAATTATATACCAGTCCTCTATCAGACACATGTATTGTGAATATTTTCAGTCTAGGGCTTGCTTTTCACATTAGTATCTGCCACATTCTTTTTAATGGATGCACATTTTTCCCACTGTAGTAGCAGTTTCTTAATTTATGTTACCATTATCTATTAATGTATATTTACACTCATAGGGAAAATTTTGTGCTTCAGTGGAAAACTGTACATTGTTTAGAGAACACTGCTCTTGGTTATCTGATTCTGATTTTCCATTCTATGAATTGTATATAACTGATAGCAATGCAAAATAATTCTGATCTATAGACGTGCAAATAAATTGTCTAGTGAAGATTCAATTGACTTTCCTCCCCAGTTATGGGAAAAGCCAATTTTTTCTTCATTTGCACTTTAATTTCAATATTTCTAATCTGTAAATGTGTCTGTTCTTTGGATTGTCCTTTAAAATGGTTGTGACATCTAACGAGTTCCCTCATTATTAATGAGTTAATAAAATCTCTAACATGTGTTCCTTTTATATCTGTACATGAGGTATATTTTACCTTTTTAAAAATTATTCTTTAACACATTGTTTCTAATTTTTTATCCTGTTACAGAAGATACTGCAACCCTTACTGCACATTTATCTCTGCATAGAAGTCTCAAGACTAAGAAGTCCTCATGCTCTCTCACACTCCAAATCAAACCAACTTTGAGGAATGGATTTAAAAGTTCAGCTATATGAAGGCACAGAAGACGAATAGACAGAACTTGTACCGTAACAAGGGGAAAGGTCAAATTAGGCTCAAACCAAAGAAATCAAACTAATGGTAGAATTTCAAGCATAGTAAGACAAGGTGAATGAGGAATGCCTTTGTTTATTGGGCACCTACTAATCCCAGACTACTATGTTAGGCACTGATGACACAACCTTTGCCGTCAAGAAGTTCAGGAATTACTGGTTTACAGGACTGTTAAAAGAGGTAGGAAACACAAGGTCAAAGACAGTGCCACCAAAGATCAAGGAAACAGACATTGGAGACCTCAGCTTGAAGCACCAAGATGGAAAATTCTTGCAAGATTACTGAAAAGCTGAAGAATCTCTGAAAATCCCCAACCCTACACTGACTCGTCTGCAGCAGTGAAGTTTGTGATTCTCATGAGTTCTTCAGGAAGCTTCTGTAAATCTCAGCCTGCCCTTATGTCCCAGTTGTGGAGAAAAATGGCTTCTTTTCTTCTACCTTCAAACTTCAGGCCAGTTCCTCTCAACAACAAACTCTAAACCAGAACTATACTGAGACAGGGGTTCTGGAAAATGTGGTTCTCAGCTCCTCTTCTGCAAAGCAGAGATTCTAGAAGGGGGAGGTGGTGATGCTGAGTTGAGACCTGGCACACAGCTGGGGCTCACTACGTGGTGACCATCACCACTGCCGTCCATGAAGTGGCAGGGACACTGAGCAAGTGTTCAACTTCCCAGCATTTGAAAGTACAGCTGACCCTTGAACAACCCAAGTCTGAGCTGTGCGGGTCCATTTATGCGTGGATTTTTCCCAACAGTAAATACTACAGTACTACACAATCCACGGTTGGTTGAATCCACAGATACGATACCTCAGATTTGGAGGAACTGCATGTACAGAGGAACCAGGTATACGGAGAGAACCAACTATAAATTATACATGGGTTTTTAACTTTGCAGAGGGTCAGAGCCCCTAACCCCATGTTGTTCAAGGGTCAACTGTACAATTTTTCTTGTAGGATTTCTGTCCATTGATTGTCCAGTCTCCCCTTTCCCCTACTTCATTGTGCAGGGGCCAAACAAGGACTCTGCAGTCACAATCCTAGAAGGCAACTGCTGAATAATTCAGTAGTATTGAAAAATACATAAAAGGATTTACAGGTTTGTACTAACAACCCTAGCATAAAAGTGAGACTTGAGGTCTAGCCCTGGCTTTGGCACTAGCAGCTCTATGATTTGGGGAAAACCACTGAACCTTCTTATAACTGTTTCACGGAAAAATTCAAAAGGCTGTGATACTGAGAAGAGCACAACATGTCTGGGGTGTTCTTCCCAAGAATGCATAACCTCAGTCCAATCATGAGAACACATCAGACAAACTCAAATTGAGGGACATTCTACAAAATGACTGACCAGTACTCCTCAAAAGTGTCATGGTCAGGAAGAACAGAAAGACTGAGAACTGCCACAGGTGGGAGGAGACTAAGGAGACATGAGAATTAAATAAAATATAGGATATTGGATTGACTCCTGGAAGCAAAAAAGAATTTTAACGGAAAACCTGGTGAAATACAAATCAAGTCTGGAGTTAATAGCATTGTACCAATGTTAATTTGTGAGTTTTGATAATTGTATCACATTTACGTAAGCTGTTAACATTATGGGAAGCTGGGTGAAGGGTGTATGGAAACTCTCTGCACTATTTTTGCAACTCTTCTGTAAATCCAAAATTATCCCAAAATAAAATGTTAAAAATTAAAACTGTGCTATTTAAATGGTATCAAAATTGAATTCATCATTTTGTATTGGGCCCTGCGAATTATGTAGCTGGTCCTGCATGGAAGTGTTACCAAGGCTGTTGCCCCAGAACCAAGTAAACTTGCAGAAAAGCATATCCTCTAGCTGTGTTCACAGGACAGGAACAAGAGAGTCCATCCGCAAGAAAACTGGTGAAACTTATTCAGCTTCAAAAGTGGGACAAAGGTTGCCCTGCAGCTCATTAGCATCTCATTGTAATCTGAAGATCTCTGCCTGTCCTCACCATGATGGTTTGACCTGCTTCAGACCCAAATGCCAAAGGACCATACAAGGGCAGGAAAGAGGTGGCACCCTAGTTCCAGGAAGAACCCCACCTATCCCCAGAAAAATCAATGTATATGACTCCCTCTCATTAACCTTGCCCTTAAAATCTTGTCTTAACCATCACCCAGGTGAGAAGTTGATTGGCGACCTAAATTCCCGCTTCTCCACCCTCAGGCCATTGAATTATGTTTGCCCTCAAGCATAATTGCCCTCAGCTTCGATCTCAGCTTGGGTTTAGTTTTTGGCTGTCAGAACCTGAACAGAAAAAGAACCTTCTCCCTGAGGCAGGGGGACCTTGGCTGGGCTAGGGCCCAAGTGGGGGGTCCAGACGACCTAATTCGGTAACAGAAGTACATGGAAAATTGGGTAAAACCCGTTTCCCGTGATGCAAAATAATGAAGCGGCAACAAAACAATTCCCATGAGCTCCAGGGGAACCTGGAAGGAGCAGAGATAAGAGCTGCTCCATCTGACGGGTCTTGTGGACAGAAATGAGGATGGTTCTGAGCCGACGACTAAGGATCAGATGGGACAAATAACTATCTCAGCTCATGGCTAAGAAAAATGACCAGAAACTGATTCTGAAACCCTCCCCACAGCCTTGGCACTGTGTAAGACCCCCTACAACATAGGAGCAATTCTGATGAAAACCCCTGCCAGCTAGTATTCTCCCAAACCTATCTCCGTTCACGTCCTCGGTTCTCTCTCTACAAGCTCTGGGAAGCTCACAAGCCTTGTGTGACTAAGGCTGTTTCCACACCAGCACGTGGAGGCTGAAATCGGAGACTAAGGGTGACGTCACCAAGTTGGCATCACACGTCACTCCGACTTCGCTCACCCTCTCAGGAACAACCAACGACCATTGGTTAACCGGACACCACTGAGAGCAGCCTAGAACGCGGGGGTGAGGCGGAAGCACCCTCTGCACCGCAGAGACCAAGACAGACGGCATAGAAAGGTCAGAGAAGCGGCTACCACCACACTGCCCCTCCCCCAGGCCAGCGCAACCCCACACGGCCGTCTCCCCTGAGCCTCCGGGTCCTCCAGTGCGAAAAGGGCGGGCTTGGGGGAAGAAGCCAGCCCGCCCAGCACTGTGGGTCACTGTGTGGGAGCCCCTACTCCAGGCTCGCCCCACAGGGCTTGCCCAGTGGGAACCTGCCTGTGACCGAGAAGGGGCCGAGGGACTGGCAACAACCAGTACTTGGACCTGGGCTGAGTTCGTACCTGCAGCGCCCGAGCAGTAGTCCCAAGCAGCCGCTCTGCTCAGCTGCAGCACTCTGACCGGGGAACTCGGTGGGGCCCTTAAACGAGGATTTCTGCTGGCCCTGGAGCCTGACTTGCCCACTCAGGCAAGGAGCTGAGGAGAGCGTCTCCCGACACCGTCTCACCAGAAGAGCGGACACCTGGAAGCTGCGCAGCCAACAGCGCGGGAGCTGAGAGGTGGGTGGGCGGGGCTGACAGCCTCCCGAGAAAAGCCGGAATCGCGTGGACGGTTCCCGTGCTACCGCCCAAGTGGGGGGAATTAATTCAGAGCCGAGGCTGAGAGTAGTTGCCGGCCCACCCTGCTTGGAAAGCCTGGCGTTACCCCACCCGGTCCTGCTAAGGCAAGTGAGCTAAAACAGAGCCCTGCCCACTGTGACTCCCGAGTGTGGGCGGGGCGGGGCGATTGGCCCAAAGGGGCTGGAAAGATTACCTGAAAGCTGTGTAACCAAAATAGCAATTAAGTTGTTATAGAAATATTATGTTTCTTGCCCACCTGTGTTGGTGTCCTGAGATTTAAACCTGTCATCCGTCAATCTTTCAGATTAATTTTGCTAATTATTTGAGATTACCAATTATTTCATCTCAAAGTGGATGAGCAGATTTTTTTTATCATGGTGAAAAAATTCATTGCACATTTAACATATTAAAATAAGTTAGGGTGAAGGAATGAGTGACAAGTGCTTTTTAGTCCTACACAAGAGTGAATGTGGTGAGACTACTACTGTTGCAGAATGCTGCAAAGATAATACTTTACTCGATGTGGATATGGGCTATAAAGAAAGGCGAAAACCAGAGCTGAACATCGAAGCCTTGCTGACCAAAATTAAAATACTGGCATGTATTTAAATAAATATTAAAGTATAAAATAATATGCTTTAGTAACATTTATGTTTTACCCACGAAGGACAAAACACTTCCAAAGTTTTGAACATTCTTTCAATTATATCCACAATTATCATTACTGGGTTAAACTATTTCTGTTTTGCTTTTCAAGCAAGAAAGCAAACATTCTCACTGTGCCACATTTATGAAACTGGCTGGAAAATGTTATCATTAAATTAAAAACACTATAGATGACATTAGTAAAAGTTCTATAAAATTGCTACATTAAAAAAACAAGCGTCTGTATTAAGAATATTTTAAATGTTTATTCATTGTATTTATTTGGAAAACAAAATATATTAATGATAAATTTATCAAAAAGTCTTATGAGCAGACATTTAAAGTCTTTAACGTTGGACTGATACAATAACAAAACTGACCTGTGAAATTTTGTAGATAGAAAAGGTCTAATTTAGTTTAAATAAGATCTGAAACACCTTTATGAAACTTATTTTGCTCGGTGTGATTTTTTTTTTTTTTTTTTTCTTTGCGATACACGGGCCTCTCACTGTTGTGGCCTTTCCCGTTGCAGAGCACAAGCTCCGGACGCGCAGGCTTAGCGGCCATGGCTCACTGGCCTAGCCGCTCCGCTGCATGTGGGATCTTCCCGGACCGGGGCACGAACCCGCATCCCCTGCATCGGCAGGCGGACTCTCAACCACTGCGCCACCAGGGAAGCCCGCTCAGTGTGATTTTAAAGAAGTTATGTGTATATTACTATGACTCAAACTGTGAGGACGATTTTAAACACTTTAAAAAAAAATAAAGTGCATTCTAAACTGTGCTATCCAGTATAGTAGCCACTATTCACATGTGACTTTAAATTTTAATTAGCTAAAATGAGATATAATTTAAAATCTAATTCCTCCATCTAATTAGCCACATCTCAAGTGCTCAAAAGCCACATGTGGCTAGCTATTACCATACTGGACAATGTAAAATTATAGAATATTACCAACATAATGGAAAGTTCTATTGGACAGGGCTGGTCAAATAACATATAAGCAACCACCATAATAAAGTTAATCATATAAATCTTGAAAAACTTCTGTAAATATGAAGTTTTTGTTTTTGTAATTTTGCTTCTAATCCAAGGAATCTTTCAGATACCACAAAATACAAATCAAATTTGAAATCTGCATTATACAATTTGAAATTTAATCTTGCCTAGGATATAAATTTACTTTTCTATATTAACTCTATTACTACTAGTTTGTAAAATATTTTGTGAAACTGAATGGTGAAACCAAAGACTAATTTAGATGAATTAATCTGAAGTTAAAAGTCTGGAAGACTTTTTGGCTTCAGTTATCTACTTCTTAAGACCACTGTAGGCATAGCCTAAACATATAAAGATATGCATAGAAATACTATAGTTTTATTAAACTAAAGGCAACTAATAGCAAATTATTTATTTGAAGAACAGAGTCTTAAAATTAAATCTTATATCTTATCTTTATTAAACTAATTATATTATACTTCACTAAAATACTCAAAGTTGAATTTAATTTTCAAAAGATATATCATGAAAATATGTATCTATTCTACCAACTGATCACATAAAACCATCTTAAACTATCTCACAAGTCACAAAAATAACAAGACTTCACACAAACTATCCTTTTTGACCTACTTATTACTTTCTGTTGAATTTCTTCTTTGCCTTATTAAAAAACAGAATTTAATTAATGTCTGTTATCTAAGACAAAGCCATGGGTCATAAGCAAATGGCCATGACTAAAGATTGAACTCTTACAAGGAGAAAATTTGCTCTTTGAACAATAACAAGGAACACTATAAAACAGATGTAACTGAGGACTGTTCAACAGGTTGAAAGCTGAAAGATGGCATTGTAACTGACAAAATGTTTCTTAAACACAAATGATCAAACAATGAAATTATATAATATTTCCTACAGCTGAAACATTCAAGAACTTTAAAATAAAGTGCTTAAGTTAAAAATAAAATCCTAGTAAACAACAAGGATTTACTGTACAGCACTGGGAATATCTTGTGATAAACTATAATGGAAAAGAATCTGAAAAAGAATACATATGTATGTATAACTGAATCATTTTGCCATACACTAGAATCTAACACAACACTGTAAATCAACAACACTTCAATTAAAAAAAAAGAAGTCCTAGGAAGGGAGTAAGCAGGAAGCCTTCATGGAGTAAGTGGCATTCAGTGTGAGGATTCAGATGTGACAGTAGGCAGGGGAGGCAGGAGTGGCCAGGCTGGGGAGCCGGTGGATTGCCCCTGAGTATTAAAAAAAAAAATTATATTTATGAGCAAAATGGAATGACTTTTTAATTCTCCAGTAATCCCACCAATATCCTTTAAGATCATTTACTTCTAATTGAATTCCTGATAAAACTTTTTTTCATTTAAACTTTGTAAGATTTAAACTTGTATGCATTTCAACTAGAATTAATCATAAAAATACAGTAAACATATTAAAACCTTTATGCAGACATTTCAGAAACCAAAAAAAAAAGTGTCTAAATCTTGTCAGATTCTTTATATTCATAGTGATATATTCTTTTTTTAATTTTATTTCTTTTCTTTATACAGCAGGTCATTATTAGTCATGAATTTTATACACATCAGTGTATACATGTCAATCCCAATTGCCCAATTCATCACACCCCCACCCCCACCCCACCTGCTGCTGCTTTCCCTGCTTGGTGTCCTTATGTTTGTTCTCTACATCTGTGTCTCTATTTCTCCCCTGCAAACCAGTTCATCTGTACCATTTTTCTAGGTTCCACATATATGCTTTAATATATGATATTTGTTTTTCTCTTTCTGACTTACTTCACTCTGTATGACAGTCTCTAGATCCAACCACATCTCAACAAATGACCCAATTTCGTTCCTTTTTATGGCTGAGTAATATTCCATTGTATATATGCACCACATCTTCTTTATCCATTTGTCTATCGATGGGCATTTAGCTTGCTTCCATGACCTGGCTATTGTAAATAGTGCTGCAATGAACATTGGGGGGCATGTGTCTTTTTTTTTTTTACATCTTTATTGGAGTATAATTGCTTTACAATGGTGTGTTAGTTTCTGCTTTATAACAAAGTGAATCAGTTATACATATACATATGTTCCCATATCTCCTCCCTCTTGCATCTCCCTCCCTCCCACCCTCCCTATCCCACCCCTCCAGGTGTTCACAAAGCACCGAGCTGATCTCCCTGTGCTATGTGGCTGCTTCCCACTAGCTATCTATTTTACGTTTGGTAGTGTATATATGTCCATGCCACTC